GTGTGTGGTGTGTGGTTGGGTGTGTGTTGTGTGTGGTGGTGTGTGTGTGTGTGTCGTGTGTGTGTGGTGTGTCGTGCTGTGTCGTGTGTGTGTGTGGTGTGTGTCGTGTGGGATCTGATGGAAAGGTGGGGCATACGAGGGTCCTCGGGGGGTTTTCTACTCCATCACCATCAGGAACACGCTTACACCCGGTCTCTCCGGGGACGACTGTCCTCGGCTTGGAGAGCACCGGACACCAAGCCCGAACTGTCTTTACGCGTACCGTAGGGGCGAGGGAAGGGAAGCAAACAACCCTACTAGGTGTGTGTGTGTGTGTGTGTGTGTGTGTGTGTGTGTGTGTGTGTGTGTGTGTGTGTGTGTGTGTGTGTGTGTGTGTGTGTGTGTGTGTGTGTGTGTGTGTGTGTGTGTGTGCGTGCGTGCGTTATTAACCCTTCGATGCATAAGTGGGCTTTTTTGACCCGGTGAGGTGGTTTTCTTGAAGTATCTTTGTAATTATATTTTTTTATCATTTCATATTCCAGCTGTTTTGGATATCAGGCCATTCAAATTTTAAATTTTAATTGTATACATTTTAAGAAATTGTAGTTTTTATATTACTGCATGCAGGTCAGTTTGACCCGCATGCATTTTCTATGTAATCCTATGGGAACCTTTGATTCTTATCACCTGTGGCTGTCAGGAATACATTCACTGTAGACCACACATACTAAATCACAAGTGACACCTCTCAGGAAGATTATTTTACACAGCAAGATCTGATACCTTTCAGTATAATAATGATAATACATTCTATTTTTATAGGGCTTTTCAAGGACTCAAAATCGCTTTACAATATAAGGGAAGGTTAGGGTGGGGGGTATAGGACTAGAACTTGATCAACCAGCATGGATTGATGGGGGGTGGGCTATGAGTAGACAAGAGGAGAAGAGATGTTTTTTTTTTAGGGTCTCAGAATAGTGGAGACCTTTGCATCAATATGTGCTATGCTTCTCCTCCAAAGAACGTCACTGTCTGTTGCAATACACCTACCATGAAAGTTGCATCCTTTAGCAAAGCTAAAGGCTACACATCATTTTTGTGGAAAAACTCACATTGACGGAGTGCGATCTGTAACCAGGGTCACCTTTCAATACACTACACTGTGTGCACATAACACACTAATTGTCCTGAACATTTCAAACTTGGCAGAAACCAAATAAAACCCACCAAAACTGTTCTGGGTAGTCTTTCCATTGGTCAAAACAAACTCTTATTTCCCTCAGATTAATGTTAAAATATACTTGCTATATACAAACTAATCTCATTCGTCGAGCAGACCATTAAAGGAGCAAAATCAAATGACGAAATATTCACCCCCCCAACTCTAACTCAGACAGAGACTCCTCCCATTATAGTTCTCTGGGTTTTGGATATTCTTGATAAAATCCAGATCTTTTCCATATTAACCTGTACTCCTCTTCTCCCCCCTCAGGTCTGGTGCGCTTGGAACAAAAGAATGAAACCTTTTTGGACAGGGGCATCTATGACGACGGCCCTTTTGAAACGGGAGATGAGAGGAATAGGAACGCTAACTTGGTCCCCGCTCCTTCCAACAGCTACCTGGGTAAAAAACTCCTCACTTTCTTCATCCATTAATTTGTCCGCCATTGTCAAGTACACAACTACCTCTGGCTATGTAAGCAAACGTTTCTTTGTCCCCGTCTCCCAGGCTTCTCTCTGGACTCAGGGAAGAGTCTGATTAAGCAGGGTGAGTTGACGGTGGTGGCTGGAGCTCCCAGAGCTAACCACAGTGGAGCGGTGGTGCTGATGAAGACAGAAGGATACAACAGTATGTCAGAAGAGTACACCCTAGAAGGGGAAGGGCTGGCCTCGTCTTTCGGCTACGATTTGACCGTGCTGGATCTCAATAATGATGGGTGAGTAACGCAGGGTGATTTGCACAACCTGTAACTTCTATTATTGCTGTTCCAATAAACTCACAAACAGGTGGTTCTGTTGTTTGTTAGTTGGCAGGACATAGTGGTGGGAGCACCACAGTACTTTGAGAAGGACAAGGACATCGGAGGAGCCGTCTACGTCTACGTCAACAAACTGGGAAAGTGGAACACAGTCAAGTCCATCAGAATAGACGGACCAAAGGACTCCATGTTCGGCCTGGCTGTGGAAAACCTGGGAGACATCAATCAGGATGGTTACCATGGTGAGGCTGCTATGTGTGTTTGCGTGTCAGCACGTCATTGTTGACACGCTTTGTTGAATAAGATGAGAGAAGATTTTTACTTTACTTGAAATTTGTGGGCCAACCTAATAATTACAAGAAGCACAATAGAATAAAAAGAACACTTAGTGAACAGAGAAAATACAATTAGAGCAAGATACATTATGTAAGATAAGTAAGCTAAAACATAAAATTAATATTGTGCATGATTTTGGTAGTAATGTTATGGGTTAAGGGGAATTAAATATGTGTACCTGTATAACTACACTGTAAGTCACTGTTATCGTTATTGCTGTCAGATTTTGCAGTGGGAGCTCCTAATCAGGGAGCAGGACATGTGTACATCTACCATGGACTAGCCTCAGGTGTCATCTCCAAAGATGCTTCACAGGTATATATTAAACTGAACATCGACGACGATCTGACAAAGAACACTGGTATATATATACACAAGATTAATCAGGGAGACAACACACAGCTGAAGGGAAGTTGAAAACACAAGGGCAGCATGTGAACACAATCAGACACAGGCGGGAAAACACAGGAAGAAAAACGAGACAAGAGAAAATTAATGTCAAAATAAAACATTAAACACAAAAACCAGAATCATATAAAGAAAATGCCTTGCTTGTCCAGTATGTCTTATCAAACACACACACGCACGCACGCACGCACACACACACACACACACACACACAATACCTACAACAAACATATTCAGGTTATGCATAATGAACATGAATATTTTATTTTAATGTCTGAACACATTGATGCTTTTGTAACAAAATCATTTCCCAAATTTGGATCAATAAAGTATATCTATCTATCTAATGTGGGATTCCTATTCCTTATTTAATGGGCTATTTTGGATTTATTGGGGGCAACACACCAAAACATACGCTGCATTTGAATACTAACTAGGACATCTATTACCATGGTAACATTCAAAGCAGTCGGGTCGGCTTTAATACATGTTATAAAGTAAGTGTCTGTTTCTCTTCCTTTAGATTCTGTCCACCAAGGCTTTAGGAGTGAAGATGTTCGGCTACTCTCTGGCAGGCAACATGGACCTGGATAAGAACGCCTACCCTGACCTGGCCGTCGGGTCCCTCTCTGACTCCGTCTTTGTCTACAGGTTAGTGACCTGAAAAAATGTCCTCACTGTTCATCTTTGATCACGGTTGTAGATGTTCTCAATTGAGTGCTGTCCTCCCCAGAGCCCGTCCAGTTATAAACATCCAAAAGGAAGTTAAGTTCACACCAAAGGAAATCAACCTCACAGAGAAGAACTGTGGCGAAAACTTCTGGTACGTGTGTCTTTTTCTGCAGCAGGTGTTTCTGGACATTCATCAATTTGAGGAAAATCTGTGCCATTACTTCTTCTCATTGTTGTTTTATTGTGTCCACTGTGCTTTCAGCTTGACTATCGAGGCATGCTTCACCTTCACTGCAGAGCCCAAGAGTTACGCTCCCAGACTGAGTAAGCAGAGCCTATTGAAGCACCAAGTCCGACTTTCTTGTGATTTTGGTTATTATTATCATAGACGAAAGAGCAAGAAACGGTACTCTGTCATTTTTCTTGTCATTCTTTATCCACCTCTCCCTCACGTCCATGTCTCTGTCAAATCTAGCGGTGGCGTACTCCCTCGAGGCGGACGCTGACCACAGGAAGAAGCTTTTGAACCCCAGGGCGGTCTTCAAAGACGGCTCTGAGAATAGCTACAAGTCAACAGGGACGATCACCATGGACACCAAAGGAAAGAAACAGTGCATTACCAGAAAGCTTATGATTCAGGTTGGGTCTCTCTCATGACATTTCTTTCACTTTCTCTCTCACAATGCACTGTGGGTGTGGAGTAATTTTGTGTCATTCTGCAGGACAATATTAAAGACAAGCTGCGCGGGATCCCCATCGATGTGTCCGTGGTTATCCAGGATGGAAACCGTAAACGCCGACAGAGCTCGACCGGTCAGCTGGCGCCTGTCCTGGATGCCAAGGAGTCGCCGAATATGCGATCTGAGGTGGGAATGCGTTCATAGCTCAGTTAAAATAAAGCAGAGCTATTGTGCAATACATTTGTATTGCATGTATATATTTTATTTGTAACAATTTCAGTTAAAGTTTAAAAGAATAAAGATATTTTTGTTATCTAAACGTTTGACCTCTTTGTTTTACAATTTTGGAATCGAAACGGGGAATCGATAAGCAGAACCGGAATCGGAATCGATACATTTAAAACGATACCCATCCCTACTGATGTATCTATGTAACGGTTTTACTTTAATGTGCGTGTTGTAGGTCAGTTTCCTGAAGGAAGGTTGTGGAACTGACAATATCTGTCAGAGCAACCTGCAGGTGACATTTCGCTACGGCTACAGGACAACAGACGGCGACACGTTCACTCCATTAGAACTGTAAGAGGATACACACATACTTTGTTTCGCAAGAGCACCATATTCATTTTTTCCTTGGTCTCATAGCTTTGATCTGACTACAGGGAGGGTAGCGTGCCGGTGTTTTCGCTCAGCAACCAGAAGGACATCGCTTTGGAGGTTACAGTTACCAATTTAAGTGGAGACGATGCACACGAAGCCTCTGTGCTCGCCAGCTTCCCCCGCTCCCTCACCTACTCTGCTTACCGTAATCTAAAAGATGTGAGCGTCTTTTTAACTTTCACTCACTCTTTTTAACATAATAATAGCTTTATTTAGTATAGCACCTTTCACAGAAATACAATTCACAAAGTGCTTCACAAGAAAGAACAAAAGCAAAAATTAAGAACACAGAAACATGAATACAATAACAACATGAGGCAGAAATGTAAGGTTATCATAAAAACAAAACACAGACCATGTAGAGTCCCGAAAGAAACACATATAAGAACAGAACACATCACTTACATCTCAAGTATCATTTGGTTTAATTCTTGTTTTTATGCACCACGACACCAAGTCAAATTCCTAGTATGTGTAAACCTACCTGGTTCTGATTTCTGTTTTCTGAGTATAAACAAAAGCCAATGTAAAAAGATAGGTCTTCAACATACACACACAATCATATGTTCTGATTGGTTCTTGTGATTGATTTCAGGTGGCGCAGGTATCCTGTATGGCCAATAAAGACGGTTCTGAGGCTGATTGTGAGCTTGGAAACCCCTTCAAACGTGACGCACAGGTCAGAGACAATCTGTTTTTGGACAATCATCTGCACAAGTGGCACTGTAAGTATTTTAATATTCCGTTTATGCTTTTAGACGACCTTCTTCATTCTCCTGGGTACATCGGGCATCACTTCGAACACTACCGACCTGGAGATTGTTCTTCAGCTAAACACGTAAGAAATAAAGGCTTGTAACAATGTTAACAATATATGAATATACTACATTTTTTGACTTGGCCTGTGTGTAATCTCTGATCCAACAGAACAAGCAACCAGGATAAATTAGCCTCTGTTAAAGCAAAGGCAAAGGTGGCTATCATGTTGCAGCTGTCTATATCGGGGTAAGAAACACACAGATACAGCTCATATCCAAAAACACACAAGGAAGTAGAGGTACATGCTACTAACTGCTTCCCTGTGTGTTTCCAGACTAGCCCAGCCATCTCAGGTCTACTTCTCAGGAAAGTCCAAGGGTGAGACGGCCATTAAGTCTGAGAGTGAAATGGGCACTGCCATCACACATCGGTTCAGTGTGAGTACAGGACAGCTAATAGATCAGGCTTAATTTTTGTTAGATCTCACTGTTTCCTTTCAACTGTAAAGCACATTTTAAGCAAACTTCTAAAATGTCGAAAATAAGAAATGCAAATTCATCCTATTTACATCAAATGGTTCAGAGCGGATAAACTCTGCTAGTACTGGAAATGTTTCATCCTGTCTGGAGACAAAGCTCTCTTAATGTTATGATTCTAACACAGCTGGTATTAAATGCCTGACATACAAACTTGTTCAACAAATGTGTTTCCAAATTCCATTTACTACAGGTAGGCTACATACCACCTTAAGTGAGCATAAATGCTTTTTTGCCTAATTAAACAAGTTTTATCCAAATGTTCTGATTCCATTCAACATTTCTAATGATAATTGTTTTAAATGTTTAATAAAATATGTTTATGTTAACACTGCTTCTGACATGTCTAAGACTTGAGTATTCTGCAAATACAAAATATGATCTGAAGGAACGCACTGATCCTTTCTTGGTTTACAGATAATCAATCTGGGGAAGAGCTTGAAAGACTTTGGCACTGCCACCCTTGACATCGACTGGCCGAAAGAGACAGAGGATGGGAAGTGGCTGCTGTACCTGATGAAGATCAGCGCCACCGGAGTGGACCGGCTAGACTGCACTCCTAAAGAAGAGATCAACCCTCTTAGCAAGGTCAGCAAAAAGACATCATGAAAAGACGTGGTGGTCCTCAGCCGATGCCATCTCTTTTTAAAGCAGTAGAGATATGTGCTTTCATATTTGTACAAACAAAATATGAAAAGTGTATTTGATATTTGAATGTACCTCTTTCCTCTGCTTTAAGGAGCCAAGTAAAACCAGGAAGAGAAGAGAAACAGAAAACACTCTGGGAATTAAGGAGGGCACTATCTCACATTTACTTGACGGGAAGAAATCTAAAACTCTGGTAACACCACACAACCAAGTTCTACCCCTTTGTTATACTACTAGATGTTATGTACATTGGCAAACAGTAGTTCAGAATCCCCATGGTAACTGTGTTCCCTTCTTTTTGACAGTCTTGTGGCAAAGGGGCAACATGTGTAAGGATAACGTGCCCCCTGCGGGGCATGAACAGTAATGCAGTCTTCACTCTAAACTCTCGCCTCTGGAACAGCACCTTCATAGAGGTAATTAAACACACTGCAGGAGACATTTACTCTTTTTACTAAACCTAGTATTGAAAATCAGCCTCACTATCCTAACAGGCAGAAGCGTAATATATTATAACTTGTAATAATAGTTACAAATGTAATAATATAACAATACAGTCTTACGTTTTCAACAGATGTCCTTGTGAAAATATAGCCTTCATTTCCATAATTTAACATTATCAATACCATATTGTCGGAATGACATTTAAAGGTTAAAGGCTTATTGCAGAATAAAAGTGTATGTATTTTAATGTTTTTTTTTCCTACTCCCACTTTAACATGATCTTTTTCTTTTTCTTCGAACAGGAATATTCCACACTCCATCTCGTGGAAGTGATTGTTACGGCCTCCCTGAATGTCGATAGCAGAGCAAAGAACACAGTGCTGAAAAATGCTGAGTTTCCGGTATTGTTCATTGATCTCAACATATTGTTTTGTCATTCGAACATAGAGCCAAAACAAATGAGCGAAACTGTAAAACTGATGTTGTGCCTCTGTCCCGTGTTCCCAGCTGAAACTGACGGTGTTCCCAGAGAGGCGTGAAGCTCAGTATGGAGGCGTGCCGTGGTGGATCATCGTGCTGTCCATCCTGTTCGGGCTGCTGCTGCTGGCCCTGTTGGCTTTCCTTCTGTGGAAGGTAGGACACACTCTGACTCAGCTAATAAAAACACATAACGCACACCTTATGCATTTGGAAGAGTCTGTAAAGTACCTTTTAAATAACAACTGTATCTATACATATCCGTGACAGCAATAACACACGTTTTATAACAATTCTCCTTTCTTCAGTGTGGAGTGTTTGACAAAAAGAATAAAGAGGACCCAGGCGAGAAAGAGAAACTGACATCACATGCATAAAAAAAAAGAGAAGAGGGTAACATTACCCGGCCTGCCATGAATGAGGGACACTTTCTCTCTCGCTCCTATTTTTCTACCAAAGTGCTGCTTTCTGGAAAAAGGAAATGTGCCCTGAATGCAGTTATTAAAGCTGACTCATTATTTCTGCAAAGCGTTAATGCCGCTAAGATTTTCACACATGATCATGTGTGGGTCTTTACAGTTTACTTGCATGGCCAGGGGAGGTGATAAGCAAAGACTGAGGATTGACACCATCGGGGCTGATCTGCATCTCTTTGATTTCTCTCTTCGCACTTTCTTTTGTTTCCATCACACTTGCAGTGATTTGGTCTGAAGGTGCCTTTCTCTCTTTATTTAAAAGCCGGGGCAAACTTGTTTCTTTCTTTAAAAGGAGTGCTGATGGTTTGTCTACACTCTTAATGGTTTCACTGCATATTGGCTATTGCCCGTCAAACGGACTCATGACAATAAATGTCTCTTCAACCCTCTTTGCTTTCTCTAAATGCCTTTAAATAGCCGTTTTCCCTGAACAAAATATTGATTACGTTTTCCCTTTCTTCAGTGTGCATTTTTTAAGCGTGCCAAATATGAAGACAAGGTTCCAAGTTACAACGCTGTTCGGATAAGACGGGAGGAGAGAACGCCAAACCCTGTGACTGATAACTGGGAAAAAGTGGAAAAGAAGCCCTGGATGACAACCTGGCACGACAAAGAACATTTTTCCCAACAGTGAGATCTGATCCACACAGATATCCTGTTTTTATACTGATGAACTCGCATTTTCACAAATTTCCCCCGCCTTGTCTTTGTACAACGTGGATTGTAAATAACACAGTAAATAATTGGTTAAAAGAGACAAAAACATTTGTAAGACTAAATTCTTGATCAAGCTTCTGCCTCAGGGGTTGAATTGCTCTCGGACAGTCTGTATAAATCACTGGAAGGAGAGTTGCATTGGGGGAGATCTTCCTGCACAACTGCTGTCCGTCAGAGCTTTGTTTTGTACATTTACTTTTACTTTGTACATTCACAGTGTTGACTTTTGGGGGTGGGGGGGCTGGACAGAGGGAGCTTTTTTTATTAAATGGTTAGCAGAATTGTTTTCTATTTATTCTTGGTGAGGAGTACTTAATGTTACGTGCCCTACAGGCCAAAGAGTCATTTGAACAAACACAGCCAATTTCAACAAATCTGTGTTTTTCACCATTTAAAAATAATAATTTCTACAGTGCATCTTCCTAAACTGTTGATCATTAATGCCTTGGGTTGTACATAGAGTTTTCCAGGACTCGTTTTGAATGTACTACTTCCCCGCTGAATTCATTTTCTATTCACTGGCTGTAAAATGGGAAGCGTGTGAACGCGAACAAAAGAGTTTCTTGAATAAATAAATGTTGTCATGTCAATGTGTTTGTGTCAAATCATTGAGTTAAGAAAAAAAGGATTATTTAAAATGTTATTTATTAATACATAAAAAAGCATTTACAGCAAACACCTGAGTGCTTAAATCAGCACATTGTTAAATATGAAAATGATAAGGATAATTTACAAGATAAAATAAACACTTAAGACACACACAAAGAGATACATAACTGCTGTTGTGGGTGTGAATTTTGGTGCTGGTCCAACAATGATGTCTATCAATTCAAACAAGAAGTGTTCTGTATCCTAAATGATAGCTTTAAGATGTGAACAATATAAGATGTGCGGAGTAGTTCTAGCTGTTTCTATTGACTCAATATAAAATTGGTTCAAGTGTATCTTTGGTGCTTGCTGGGCTGCAAACACACACTCTTGCTGCTGGTGGTGTATCTCCGACATCACCTCCGTCTCTCCTTTTATAAGAGTGACTCAGTTCTGACCGTTTTGACACCGAGTCTGGAATCTTTCACACACTTCTCCACCATCACCTGCTCTTTGTCTTCTCCCTCTGTATGCAAAACTATGTTCTTCTCCTTTTCCTGCTTCTTCTCTCCTTTCTTCACTTCCTTTTCCTCTCTTTTCTTGATCTCCTTCAGCTTCCTCTTGAGGGCCGATCGGTCACTCTGACTGCACACCCCAAGAGCCTGACAGAAAAGAAAGAACCAGGGCATGGAAACTTGGAAAGAATATACATGGATTTTTTGACAGGTTCATGTAAAATACCCTTTAAAAAAAACAGATTTAATGATTAAACTTTACAATATTAGGTATAGTAACAACTGGCAACAAAAGTCACTTAAGTCCTTACTAGTCGAGCTTAGCATACATCAAAACGTGATACATGAGCATGGCAAACTGTATAAAATCTCAGATATAGTATGACTATATACTGTTTGTTGACTTATAGGTATAAAGGTTTTACAATGATGTTAATTTAATAGAAAATAGACCGGGAGCTGCATTCGGGGCTTCAATTCAGATTTTAAACTAATATGAAGGATGGCAGATGCGAAAAGTGAAATTGGTTATCTAGCAGAAATTAAACATCTTATATGGCAAACATTCAATGCATGTATAAAAAATATGAAATTGTGTGAATAACAATGAAAGACACCATGATATCATCCCAATAAGTAAGGTAAGTAAGGTACATGGCCCAGTTTGTAATCTCAGATGACAGGAAAAGTGATAACAGCATGTGGATATGTTGTCTTCCCATAATTGGCAGAAGTGGTTGTTTCAACAAGGTTGTATTGAAGTTTAAAAACGTGACTATTGAAAATGTTCAATCACAGTCATCATGCTCACCTTGAGTTTGTCAGTGTCCATGTTGATCAGCTGTGTCCCGTCTACTCCTCTGGCAGCAAACTGTGGCATGTACTCCTCCATGTTCATAGTGATCAACCACAGACACACCTGCTGGCTGTCCCACTCCGAGATGGGGCGGTTTTGCCACTGGTTGTTGTTATTGGTTTGATTTGGGTCATCGTCCAACGTCTGACAGGACATCAGGGAGAATAAGCAGACAGGGTGAGGAGAACGGGAGAAGTATATAGACATTTATTTATTAGGATAAACCCCTTGAGATGCACCATCTCGTTTTCAAGGGGGTCCCGACAAAAGCAACGTCTTACATTCATACGTGAACAAAATAACAAAGCAAAGCATGACAAACAAGGACAAACCACGTACAGTCTGTTAAGTAAAATTCATGAAGTAATAAATACAATCATTACAATTTGATAAGACAGTAGTGTCAAATAGATCAGTTTCATCAATAACTTCATAATTTGACGAGTAAGGTACAAAATACTGCTTTAAATAAGGGGGAGAGTTAAAGTAAATGCATTTAAATATAAGTTGAAGCCAATGCATGCGTCTTCTTACATTTAATGAAGGCCATTTAAGTCTGTTATACATTGTGCAGTGATGTGTACGAAAAGGGCAACCAAGAACAAATCTGCATAGTCTATTATAGGCTATTAATAAGATCTGATTTATGTGCATTTTGGAAGACAACATCACAATAGTCCATAATCGGAAGTATACGTTTAGAAGCAACTCTCTTACAGACACCGAGCGTAAAACGATTGTGAGAGTGGTGTAGGACACCGATTCCGTAATTTACTTTTGTAATAAATGATAAATTAAAAAGGAAATTAAAAAACGCAAGTGTATGCTTGAGCAGACAAAATGATGGGACGAAGACTGCTCCAGGGGTAAGAAGTAAGACAGAAAGAAAAAAGGAAGGTAGGGACAGACTCACCTCAGTGGAGGAAAAGGTGAAAGTGTGAGATTGTCCAGAGAGGGAGACAACAGAGACATGACCCACCATGCTGGAGCTGCCCACTGGAGAGCCAATACTCTGGAGACAAGAGAAAGACACCTCGGCTGCCTGACTGTTTTACATCGGTGGCATGCTTACCCATGCACATGTTTGTTTAAAAAGATATCTACACCCATTTTCAGATTGAAAAGTTCTGAAAAAAGGAGGAGGAAGGCATGCAGGGAAAGATAATTCACACTTTGTAACTCTCTTTTCTTACCTGATCTCTCCTCCCCCTGGTGGTCAGGTAGGGTAAGCTGCTGCTGGACACAGAGCGCAGTCTCTCCCTTCCTCTCTCACCTTCCCCCTCTTTTTCTCTCCCTCGCTCTCCAAACCAGGGGAAGGGCAGGCAGGAAGGCATGGAGGTGACGGAACCTGACGGAGAAATGCCATCGGGCTCATCCACCAGGTCACCATACGACCCTCTGGCGGGGAACAAGGGTTATATTTCAGTTAAAATGTGACGGCGCCCATTTTTTTTTTAAACTTCCTTTATGCAATTGGATTTAAAGATGGACATGACAAGACCACATACAACTGTGGTTCTTGTGCAGCTAAAACAGTTTATTGCCAGATCTTTATTAATCATTATTTGCCATTTCCTGCCAAAAGAGCACATTCAAAAGAGGTGATTGAACGGGATATAGCTTAAATACTGTCTATAGTGATTAGTTCATATTGTCTGTTTTTCCAATGGCTTTTTTTTGTTAACCACATCAAATAAAGCTAACTTACTATTGAATAAAACATTTTTTTGTGTGTATGCAATTTCATACTTGTTGGTTATGGACCCTTTGCCGCGTTTTTCACTTCTCCTTTTGTTAAGAGATTTGCGAAGACCACTGAAAAAGAAACAGACTGTAGCTATCAAAAGTCTCAGGAGCAAGTATAGCAACAGCAAAGCAGTGAGTCAGTGTCATCACTAAATGGGAGCTGGTATTGTGTCTAAACTATTATGAATTTTTCATCAGAGAATATTAATAAATATTTGATGGCATCATGAACTAAATCTAAGACCAAAGAAACAGTCAGAGACCCTTCACCTAAAGTCAGGAAATTTCTTTTTGGACTTTCTGGAAGCGGAGGATTTGCAGGGTGAAGTAGTGCCGGTGTCATTGATGTAGATGGGAGGGGTGAAGACTGAGTTGTTTGGAAGTTGAGAGCTGAGGCCTGAGAAAGACGAAGTGCTGGACAGGTCACTCCTGCTGCTCCTTTGGGTCATCGAGGGAGCAGACAGCGATAGACTCTCCTGTTGTTTCTGAATCTCATCTTCCTAGAAGCAACAAAGAGATGTGTTTGAGTTTCAAAGCCAGAAAGAAGCACATTTAGTGTAGCAGAACTTTACAACCCTGTCTCCTACCCGCTTCCTAAAGCTCTTTCTGAGTTTGTCCCGAGAGGGCGGGTGCCGCTTGGATTTCTGGGCCAGCTGGGCTCTGGCTTTGTGAGCACTGGAGTCTAGACGTCCTGTATCAGGAACCAGAATGCACCAGTCTGGATCTGAGACACACACAATTAATTTTGCTCAGTCAAAAAACACGTTTTTATGTATAAGGTTTCATTTTCTCACTAGTATTAGATTGTTTCAAACATCAAACCGTAACACTAGACTTGTTTTTCACTTTTACTTGCCAGCAGCTACACAGTGTCAAAGAGAAATATAGCCACATTAACCTGCACACTTTACACTTACTGTAATTCAGCTGCTTACCTGTGACTGAAGTGTCCAGAGAGTGGTTCTTCCTCTCTTCTCCAGGCTCTTTCCCCTCTAGCTGTGCTATCTGAGATAAGCAGTGAGAGACAATGACTACAGGGAAATGGCAGGCTCACTAAAGCAGATCCATACAGGACTGAGAAGTCTCCTCTCACCTGGATTTGCAGTCTTTCAACTGCCTCTCTGTGCAGCTTGTCTTTCTCCGCCATTTCTCTTCTTAAATCTGCTTCTCTGCCCTCCCTCTCCTCTTCTCTGAAACTCATTTGAAAACCACACTTTTACTAGCATACACTCCTGGTAACATTATTTCAAATGTTGGTAAAGACAAACTGGATTAATTGAATACCTGTTCTGGTATTCTCGGACCAGTCTCTTGGCCTTGCTGTATTTGATCTCCAAGCTTTCTGATTGGTTCTGGGCATCAGCCAGTCGCTGGCTCACAACCCTGCAAAGGGTTTGGGCCTCCTGCCAGTACCTGATAAATAGAGTAAGGGGGCTTATTAAGCATCATTGTCTTCATAATGATTCTTTACATCATTATCTTTGTGCAGGCATTAGATTCCCACTTGAACTTGAAGCTGTTTTTTTTTTTATTAGTCCTCTATCATAGACAGTGGCAAAATGACATTCTTTGATATGCTATAGAAAATAGCATTGTACTTCTCTAGTTTGTCGGCTTTGTCCTCTCCATCCTGCACTCTTTGCTCCAGTTCGTCTCTCTGGTCCTGCCAATGGGCCTGCTGCTCCTCCCATTCCTTTAACTTGGCAAAAATAAAAGGAAAAGTAATTTGTGTGTTTTTGTGGAAGGCTGCGATACATTTCTTATGCACAAGGGAAAAGAAAGGGCTTCCAAAAAAGGCCCTTTTGTTTCAAACGTCACACATGCCAAAAACTATTCTTAGATTTAAAGAAACTGTACACTTTTTAAATCCTCTTACTTCACAAGT